TTCAGAAAGCAGTTGTCATCTTAATTTACTGGCATGGTAGCATACCGCAGGGGAATCAAATCCTTAATTATTTCAGTGCAGCCCATCATACCTGCTGCAATTGTGATTCTAGTGCCCCTCAGCTCTGTAGCAGTAGTTATTTAAGTAGGAGCCCTCCAGCTTGTATGTGCTGTTATCCAACTGCTAGGCAGCTTAATGATGACAAATGCAAACTAATGCCGCCTGGAAGAAATAATTTTAACTGCTACCTGTATTTTTGCTGGGTCTAAATGAAGTGTAATCACTTAGAGACAGTGTAGGCAGTTTGGTGAAACGCTGCACTCAGCATACAGCTGTGGTCGCAGAGCAAGCCTTGTAGGGACGCAGGAAGAGGTGGACACAAAATACTGTCGCTGGTATTAGTGCTGCGCATTCCTCTACAACAGTGGTTTTCAACCTGGGGTCCATGGACTGTCCAAGGTGTCCATGAAAGATGGCTATCATCAATCAAAAGTATGTGAGTACTCACACTTACAATTCAAAGGGGTCCACACCTCCGGTCGAAATTTCCAAAGTAGTCTGGCACCTCCATTCAAATTTTTTAGGGGTCTGTAAGCGAAAAAAAGGTTGAAAACCATTGGTCTGCAGTACCGTGGTAACTATAATTCAACTCAGAAAGGATAGAGCAAAAATGGAATGAAAGTCACAGACAGATGACAACAGCTATTATACGGGTGAAAAGATACAGAAATGTTTTGGTTAGAAGGAGAGGTCCATAACTTGAAGGGGTACAAACCTGTCCCAGTTACTTGTCCAGCGTGGAGATACTTGCACTTTCTTCCAAATTGCGTCTCCTGACATATGGCATAATCTCTCTCAGGATCCAAGGGCTGGGTGTGTTGGCTGGTGCTGATCTGGGGGTCACTGCCAGACCTGCAGGACTTGTTGGAAGTTTGGCGCTTGCTTTCATGGGCATTGCCCATGGCTGGAAAACTACCTGCCTCTTTGACTTTGAAAGACTTGAATAATGTCTGCTGTAGTGCTGTCAGCTGATGTAACAAAATATTAATTTGAGGGATGGTGTTTAGATTGACTGTTTTGTGCGTGCGTGTTTGGGTTCCTATGTATCCATCTTTCAGTCCCCAAGGAATTAAGGAAAAAAAAAACACTCCTATGGTGTTAGGCTGGGATTACAAAAACGTGCGAGCTCCCTCTGCTGGACTCCAGGGAGCCGCACTGACTTTGGTCACACTTGCAGACAAATAAGGAAATAGCAAAAAATTGTTTTTAAACTCCATTAGAAATGAAGCAGCCTCAAATAAAGTGGAGAGGGCAAGCAATCCATTCTTCTCCTCATGTCTGCGAGGTCTTGCTACCACTTGTGTCTCAGCTGGGAGCCCGCCGTATTTAGGCCACAAGGATGGTTAAGGCACAGGTGCTGAGCAGCTCCGAAGTGCTATGGAGAGCACGTCCAGAACGAAGCCTGATAAGGACGATCCGGCCGACTTCCAGGTTTCCAAAATGTGCTCAACTGCCCCTCATCCTTTGCCCGTACAAAGTGAGAACAAATGATTGACCCAAGTCGGACAGGAGCTGCCCGAACCATTTACTTCCTCTCTAGCTGTTGAGCCTAGTTTTCCAGCAACAGAGATCCTTTCTGTCTGCATGGCCCGTTATCCATTTCCTTTCCAGTTCCTTCCTTAATTAAACACCCCAGCACCCCGACCACACTGCTTACTGTGTTTCCTGGAAGTGACTCTGAGCTTATGTTGTTGCAGGTCGGAGTGCTTGTAACTTTCCTCCTGCTCCTGATTTTCTCCCACAGCGTTGCCTTCCTGTTTGTGGGGACAGCATGCCTGGGCCTGTTCCTCAGCAGCACCTTCCCCAGCATGCTGGCCTACACCGAGGACATCCTGCAGTACAAAGGTAAGCAGATGCAAGAGAGGGGCCCTGCACCCTGTGTTGCTTGAACAGCCCCAGGGGAGGTGCAGTAAAAGGACCCCAGGCAGCGGTTTCAAGGGTAGAGCAAGCTGATGAGCTACGTGTGGACAGAAAGGGCTGATCTGTACAGGCCTAGACACATGGCAGAGCAGGCACTTAGCTCAATGGTAGGCTGCTAACGACCGAAGGGGGTCCTGGAAATCTTGTGGGTGCTTCCAAGATGCATGGCTCTAGGGCAGCTGCATCACGTCCCAGTCATGGAACGGTGTCAACTGCAGTGATGGGAACCTTATTCGGTTTAGGAAAACCACTGAGCTGCAACACGCAGGAAATCATGTGCTCTAGCCAGGAATTGGATTACACAAGGCTGTTACCAGCCTCCATGCCGTGAGGCAACCACAGCACCTGGCTCCTTTCACAGAGGTGGGATACAGTGAAGGAGCAAGGCCAATTGAGGTAACATCACTGCATGCACAACTACCTGGGCTGAGCAGATCAGGAACCTGGGGGAGATGTTAGCACGCAATGCCTTCTCTTGCACTACTGTGTAAAGATGCTCTTGGCCAGATCTGACATTACAACTTACCACTTGTTTCCAGGCTGTGCCACGACGGTGTTGGTGACTGGCGCTGGCATCGGAGAGATGACGCTACAGTTACTGGTGGGGTCGGTAAGTGCAGAAGGGAAAGCGAGGAACTTGAAGGGAACCACAGAGAGCTGCATTCAAGAGGCTGGAGTAAGACTCGCATTTGCAACAGCTCTTGGAGAATCTGTCTCCGAGGAAATGTAGGAGGGAGGCATTAGCTCAAGACTACCAGCATCCATTTTTAGCAGTTGCTGTATGGTGCTACATTCTTCCTCGCTGCAGATGGGTTTCAGTGTTAACGGCAAAGAAAGAGGCTTTTGCATTCTTTAAGTTTATATACGAAAAGGAGCAACTACTCCAATAGTCTGCCATCTTGGGTTCTCTTATGCCTCTACCCACTTCTGTTATAGCAGGTGTCTTGTTACCACCACATCTGTGAGGTTCCCCCGCACCATTCAGTGGTGAAAATTTAGTTGCTAGTCTGAAATACAATGAAGGAACCGCTAGCCAGCAATGGCAGAGACCCAGCTGCAGAGCTGCTGTCAGGTCGCGCTGGGGCCCTTTCCCACAGAAGCCGGTATCACTTTGGTGGGGATAACAACCTGACGCTGGGAGAAAAAGAAACACTACGTCATCTTCAGCCGGGAGCCAGGTCTTAATGAGAACGCTGCCTTTTTATCTTATAAGCATTCATGTCACACAGGGATGCTTGCAAACAACATCTAGATTGATATATAGCAAGACTCTGTCTACCCAACCCATCTCTTCCTGAGCCTGAGAAAACAGATGGGGCTTGGTGCTTGCCCTGGGGGTCAGTAGGTTGGAATCCATGTCCTGTGCTGAGAGAGGCAGAGTTAAGGGCCTTCCTGTATTCACAAGGGACAGGGCTGGTTCAGGCAGGTATTATAACCCAAACAGCTGCTCTTCCCCCCGCACTCAGTGGGACCTGCTGTCCCTCTCTAGGCTGTACTGAAGACCCCCATTTCTTTTTGCTGCAGATTATCCATGAGCAGGGCAGCTACAGTTTCCTGGTCTGTGGGATGATCTTTGGAGGTTTGGCCTTCACTTTCTACACTTTCCTCCTGTTTTTCCACAGGATGCACCCCAAGCCCTCATCAGGTAAGAAATGGCAGCACTTAACCCTGCTTCAGAATGAGAGGAAAAGTGACCTGTGCCTTAGCCTAGACCAGGCGCGCAGCGGTCCAAGCAAAATGCAAGGAAATGTTTATTCTGCTGCTGCTTCCCGTTCCCTCTTCCTGCTTTGACTTGCCCACAAAGCCCTGGCAGCCACACGCCTGAGTTTGCTTTCTTTGCTATGAGGAGGAGAGGAGGCGTGTTTGTGGGGCGGGGAGGAACAGCAGAATATGAGATGATGCTGAGAAAGAAACTAGGATGAGCAAATCCTGGCAAAGCCGTACAGTCTCCCAGCCAAACCCAGGGATCAAGGTCTTTCTTGCCTATAAACCTAGGCAATGGCTCTGAAAGCCAGGGCTGACAAGGGAGATCTCATTTATTACCTTGCTTGGCCTGGTCACTACCTACTTCAATAGTTCCAGCTTTCTAGCATCTCTTACGCTAAAGTGACAGCACTGGCTCATCCCTTAGAGTTGAGGATAGAAACAGGACCCTGCTTTAAAACAAGCCCCCCTCCCCTCTTACTTTTCATGGTCCAGCAGCAGGGACTTCTCAGGACTGAGGGCTCAGTGCAGGAAAGCAGAACGGTGCTGTGCTGCTCCTGCTCAAACAAGAGCTGTTGTGTAGTTCAGCTCCATCCTCCGTAGAAGCAGACTCAGATAAACCATATCAGCAAAGTTGGTGCAGAATAAAGACAGGAGCCCAGAATGAACAGCTGGTGTGCTTTGAGTTCAGCCCCTACCTTATTTCACAAAGTCTTCCCCTTAATAGCACTGGCCCAGCCACTCTAAGTGGTGCTGCAAAGAGTGCACAATAGGGCAGGAGTTCTCATCCCGACAGAGGAAAATGCATGAGCTTTGATTTTTAACGGATGTTAGGATTAAACAGACTGATTCACTTGTCAGTGCAATATTCCTAGGTGTGTAATCTTGATTTGCAGATGCAGATGCCTCACCTGACAAGCCAACAGTGACAGACGACTCTGGACTTTATCAGCAATAAGGCAGCCCGGATCTAGATGAAGGTTTGTCTATGTTAGCAATAAACACCTGCAAACAATTGAGCATTATTTATAAGGATGATTTCACATTGTGGCTAAATTGCCCTTGTGTTCTGCAATCAAAAATCAAAGCCAACAGCCACCTTCCAAGACGAAGAACAGCAGGATGTTGCTGATGTCTCAGACTCGTGCATTCAGGAAGAATACAGAGCAGCAGACTGAAACCAGGCACCTATCTTCTAGGAGGATGACAGAACAAATCTTGCAAGATGGTTTCCCAGCTTCTGCCAAGAACAAGATGGGGGTTCTGCATCTGTCCCTAATGCATATGTAGTTTGAGGTATCCCCTTTGTTCAGTCACTAGATTTCTTGGATGCTGGAGAATTTCTCTGTCTCCACAGTCCTGATGACCAAACAGCATCCTCTAAGTACTACAGACCACCTTCAGCAAATTGCTGCACAGAGCAGCACAACCTTTAAATGGCGATTCCCTTTGGGAACACAGGCACGCACTCCTAGCAGGATCTGGCGATATTTTTGCACAGTGGGTAGGTGTTGTATATTCCATGGTACCAGCTCTGTTCACCAAGGCAGTCCTAAAATCAACAGGCTGCAGCAGGCTGAGTATTTAACTCATTAACTACTGCAGCAGATGAAAGAATGAGTTACGATGGTTTACTTTGCTCAAGTTCGCTGCTATAGTGCATCTGTCTGTAAGAACGCTGGAATTGAAACTTCCATCTGAAATGGAAGCAGAGGGGATCCAGCCTCCAGCTGTTTGATCTGTGCAATCCCTACTAGAGAAGGTGCCTTCCCTGAGGTACTGCAGAAACCCAGGAATGCTGTTACAAGCAGGTGATAGCCTTGAGGAAAGGACTTTGATTGGGGGAGGAGTGTGAAGAGATGCATCTAACGTTAGTTCAACCGGACTCGTTTTTGCTCCCAACTGCTGTATGAGGTTGTATATATGTAAGTGTGTATATACAGCAATGTTAATTAAAGAAGTGATAGATTGCTATATTCTCAATAGACTGAGCATGACTGACCAATATGTCTTCTGGCCAAGCAGTAGTGGCTGTGTGTGAACTGCAGGTTCTCTCCGTTCCTCTGCATCTCCGGTCTGAATTGCTAATTGTGGCAGGCTGCCATGAGAATGGTACCAGTGACTTCCAGGTTTCTCAAACTTCAGTACATGCAACAAACCCACCAAGTCTGCACGAGTCCCTGGGCTCTAGAATGAGCCTCTTGCCTTCCCATGAGAGCACTGCTTCTTGTGAGCCTAGCTTGTGGGACTAAGGCTAAACCCAGTTAAGGTGAATGGCTGTGAAAAGGGTTCCCCACAGGTGTCTTCCAGGAGGAACAGCTTTTACCCAATGGTTTTGGCTGCTGTTTTTTTTCAGTTCAGGAAGGCAATGTAATTCCTTTGTGTTGCCGCATGGTGCCACCCTCATGCTACATTTCTGCATGGCAGGAGAGCAGATCTTGGCAGCTGTCCAGCATACACCTTCCTTTATACCCAGCAGCTGAGACTAGGAAAAAATGGAGCACTGCAAAGGCTCTGACAGGAGGAAAATCCTCATCCTAGCAGAGGGGCTCAGCGAGAAATCCTTCCCCACTGCCAGAGCACAGGTGCTCACCACTCATCTGCCTCCAGGGAGAGAAGTTAAGTAGCTTTCTCCACTGATCCAAGCCATGCCATGCTCCTATACAATACAGGCTTAAGGCTCTTCTCAAGTGAGAAGAGATATTAGCTGTACCCAGGGCCGTGACAGCACAAGGCAGACAATGGCTGCTACGGTTAGGTACTCCACAATAAGCGCCACTCAGCCACGGTGGAATAAGCTACCTTGCACTTATCGCAAAGCAGCTGATGCTTTATAAGTAAAATTACACCCAGGCTTTACCCGTGGTAACCTATTTGCATGTCCAAGCCCAGTGTCTTAGCCTGCTTCTGCCGCCGTGCAAAAACACTTACCACAAAGCAACATGTCACCTTCCCTTCCCCAACCCTTGGCAATGTAAATCCACCACCTTATCTTCAAATTCTTAAGCACACTATTTGCTGGCAAACCTCCTACCTGGAGGGAGACAGCTGGCAAAAGGACCGTGTAATGCTACACACCTGGCAACATCAGCTGGGTCTTCCCCTCTTGTGCAAGCCATAGGGAAGCCAGCACCTCTGTGAACAGACAGGGTAGCTCTGGTGAGGAGCACTCTTGTGATCAGGGTGTTAACTGTATTGTCTCTGCTGCACTTGTAACTCTCAGTTTCCTCTACAGAAGAGAAGAGCAGCAAGATCAGGAACTTTTGTTAAAAATATTTATTTAAAAAAATACAATTGTTTTGCATGTCTGGTTGCACATCTCTCAACATATGACTGACTTGAATAAATTCGCTATAATGCTTTTTAAAGCCAGCTTGCATTATTATACAAAGCAAACCCCTCTGTCAGTTCTTACACAAAATAGTTCTTTTAACCAGCCCCCACCCCATTTTTTAAAAAAAGATTGCCGTACATTTATTTATTTTTTGCACAAAATTTGAAGCCATGGGGGGGAGGGGGGGGGGGGGGAAAATCACCTGATTCCTCAGGAAAGACCTTCATGACGTTTGCATGTACAAAAGCCAGCACATGGACCTTTAAAACAATATTGGTTAAAATCTGCAGCGTCGTCACATGGCACTTCCTCAGACTGGTCCTGCAGCTTAAGAGTTTAAGACTAATTTGGCCCTCCAAATTCTTGTCAAACCTGAAATCCACTTGGAGAGCTTAGTACCTGCTCTACCAGGACCCAAATGGAGTAAAATTATATTTTGATGAATTTAATGGCATTTTAACATGCTGAAGGTCTCCCTAATCTCTTATGCTGGGAGGATAAATAAAAGCAGGTTTAGTAACACTGAACAGTTATTCAGAACTTTGGCTATTTATGCACTTGCATTACATACCAGCATTGTTTTCTTTTAAACACAATGGCATTAAGATACTAGATATTATAGAAGGTACAGTTATAAGTAAGAGAGAGACTGAGAAACTACATTCTCCCCAGTTACGTTTATCCTAGTGTAATCAGAGCACCAGGACAATGCAAGGTTGCCGTATTTATCCAACACTGAGAGATAGGACAAGCCTCGGACGTAGCAGAAATTGGCTTTAGCAGTTGACTCAGTACAAAATTAAAGTGCTATTCTAGTCTAGAAAGAATAACTGAAAATGGCATGCATTTCCCGGGCCCCAGATCCTGAATTTGGGGAAAAAAGATTTTCAGTCACTAATGTCTGGCTCTACACAGCCAGCCTAGTCACAGGGAGCAAACCGGATTGTACTCTGAGTTTAAAAATCAAGTTTGAGGGCACCCACTGGCCTTGTGCTGCACCAGTTCACTATCAGTGAAAACCCCTCGGGCCGGGCTGGTGTGTGCGGCCACACGGTGAAAAGAACCCAGCTCCACTTTCCAATCTGAGGTTGCAAAAGGTTTGGGGGGGGGGGGGGGGGGGG